CCAAAGAAATTTTAATTCATCAACAATTAATGTTAAATAATGATTTATTTTGTACAACTTACTTCACTTGACCTAAGTAAAAGGCTAAGAGTCAGTAGGTTTTCACGTTTAAATCAAATATCATATGATAAATTATAATATAAATAATACCAATAATATATATAGTGCCTTTATAAGCCAAGTTTAACATTAATCTAAGGTGAGAATCAGTCACTTCATCTCTAAAAAAATTTGTGAATTTTCTTCAGAAGATTCTTTCAATATCTGCTATACTTGATCATCATATATATCAAACCTAATATTATCATAATGCTGACAATTTGCCTATTGTTTCAAACAACTTTCAAAATAAGTCTAATGATACATTAAAGCAAATTGTTGTCTAATTTCAGAAAATGAAAAGATTAAATTATGTTAACTTACTATTAGATTTGCTGAAATACTGATTTTTTGAGATATAGTTATATTGCAAAGTTATGATTTACAAAGTAATGAATTAGAAAATTCTATATGTTAATACTTCATTATAGCAAGTAAATCTTCTTGTCTAAAATTTATCACTTCCTGTTTTTTAAATAGCTTATGACATTTTAAACAAGAAACAAAACTATTAAAATGATCTTTAATCCAAATTCTTTTCTTATTAAGTATATCGAATCTAAAAAGTCTCTAAAATTATCTCTATCAATTTCTGTCAAGACTAATTTCATAAATTTTATCAAAGTCTCAGTTGTTGTCTTCATTATATTGAATCTTATCCAAAATGTCATAATCCAGATCAAAATCTATAAAATTTAATTATCAATTATTAATTTAGATCTGATAGTCTTGAAATAGCTCATAATTCTCAAATATTTTATAATTTTTATCATCACCTGATTCTCCATTATCTGATTCATTTCTATTACTATTACTATCCAAAATATTATCTATTTTGGTAATATATTCAGAAGATTTGGAAGGTTCATCAACACTTTGTTCAGAATTGTCATCAGAAGGATTATATTGTATTTTATATAATTTTTGTACCTATTTACGTGTCTTCAAGATACAAATGTAGAATCAGAATCCTCTTAATATTTATCATCTTCTGATTTATGTTGTCACTGGAAATAATTCTCTTTGTATAACACGTGTTTTACTAAGTTACTTTACTACGACAAGTAAATTTCTTATTATCAGACTTTACAACCTTAGAGAATCTCATGTCTTATAAGTATCTGGAATGCCTAGAATTACTTCACTTGATTTTATAAACTTAAAGGTTTAGGGACTTAGAGAAAAACGTAGAGAATTTGTTTATTCTAAGTGACGAACTCAAAAGCAAATTAGTATAGTGATTCATGATTAAATTCTAGATGATGGATACGTAAAAAGAAAAAGTAATTATTTTTCAAAGTTAATTCCTTTATTTATTACTTGAAACTTATAAGTATTTTAGAAATTACAAGAAGTTTAAAATTCGCAAATGAGTTAATTTACAACTTGAGCAAAAAGCTATTCTATTTATACAAAATTAATTTGTTACAGCTAACTAGTTACTACGCTATAAACTAACTAAATTTGTAATTATAAGTGCTAATATGATAATAATAATAATAATAACAAAGATAATAATTATAATAGAGATAAT